TATGTATCTCTCAAATTTCTCTTTTTCTTTCTATATCAGGTCTGTGTATTCTGCTTTCTTTATTTTCCTACACCATTTACTAAGTATTCGAGTTTTTAGCCGTAATTTTCTTACTATTTTACTATGCTCTAATATTAACTTCAGTTCTAATAGTTTTTCTTTTTTGGTAAAGTACTGAGTGCTGCTTTTCTTATTGATAACTCAATTATATCCTACATGCTGTCTATATTTAGCATGTTAAAGTTTTCTTTCTTTTATCGTATTCTTCCTTGATAAGTTGCTGCTTCTGTTTGTATTCTTGAAGCTTCTTTTTTTTGTTCTATGATGCTCTTTATACCTTTTCTTAATTCTTCTTCAAGCCTAGATCTATAATTCTCCCAATTTTCTTTGTTTGCTTTATCTATGTCAATGTTTATTTTTTTTTTTTCCAGACGTCTTATTCTTGCTTGATTTCTTATTCTTAAGTCTATTCCTGTTTCTAGTTTGAGTATTACTGCTTTGTGATTACTTTTTGTTATTAGCATCATATCTACTACCTTTTTTTGCATTATGTTTCTTGCCCAGAGTTTGTCAACTCATATTGTGTCTATTCTGGATCTTGACTTCTGATTACTCCATGTCGCTACTTCATCTTCTGAATTTGTTTCTCTCTAAGCATCTACCAAGCCTTTTAATTCTATCTCCTCTATGATTTTTCTTTTGTATTTTTCTTTTTGCTTGATGCTTGGTTCATTGCAACATTGCCAAGATTTGTATTGAAGTCTCCTATTATTACAAATCTCTGTTGCTTCTTTCTGTTGCTTGTATTTGTTCTTTTCATTATATAAGTCTTTATCTGTTTGTGCATCCCTTGATTATTTGGTACTATATATATTACTATGATATTGATCGTAATTCTTTTGAAGTCTAGTACTATGTTGATGCTATATGGGCTCTCTCTGAATACCTTTGCTATGTGTTTTTTCCATTGTTTGTCAATCAGGATGCCGATTTCTGATCTTTTTTTTTTTTGTTCTTCTGCTGCTGACCAATATGCAGTATAATACTCTTGCTTTTTAATTAAAAATCTTTCTTCCTTCTCAGATAGATTTGTTTCTGCTATTCCTAAAATATTAATATTCTTATTTTTCATAAAATCTATAGTTGATTCTACCCTGTTTTTGCATGTTTTGATGCTGTTAATATTGTAGAATCTAATTTTTAGTGTATTGAAGTTTTGGATCTTGTTTTTGCTTGTTATATTTCTTTTCACCTTTCTTTTGTGTATGTCTATTTGCTGATCAAAGACTTCTTTTGTCTCTTTGTTGTATCTATTTTGAGAGCTTCAAAGATTCAACTAGGGCACCTTTTAGAAGCGTTGAGCAGACACTGCCTACTCATTGCTCATACTATCTAATCTTCTTAATATTTCTTTAAATATCATTTGATGCTCATCAATTCTGTTTATAATGCTAGAGTCTACTTTTGATTATCTTGGCTTCGACTTTGCTTATTATTTTTATGTTTTTCTCTTATATTTGAATTATCTCTTTCTTGTTTTTCTGTGTTTTCTTCCTTCTTGTTATATAAAGTTTCTCTTTATTTTTCTTTTGTAAAGGCTGCTTTTGGTTGTCGAGATCTTCCTCTCCATGTGTCTCTTTCTGAGCTTTATAAGCAGTTATTATATCTGCATTTTTGCTTCCAATTTAGTATCCAGTTATTGTACCTGACTGGCTTACTAGTTGCTTTTTCCAAATCTAACTCATTTTCAAAAGTGATGATTGCTGCTTGCTTTATTTGGTCATTTCTTTTTCTTGAAATATATACTGCCTTTGCTTCTCTTTCTTTAATACAGCCTAGTAGTAATGTTTTTGAAGTTCCTTTTAGAATGCTTTTTAGTTTTATAGTGTGCCTAAAACAACTACTTATTTCTTTTCTATTTTCTTTATCTTTAGAAACCCACGCTAACCTTCTATTTTCTAATGATAAAACCCAAGACAGCTTGTAATCCTTTACATTAAATCCTAGCTCTACCTCTGCTACTATTCTGAATTCTGTTCTTTTAATCTTGATGTCTTCCAGTCTACCAAATTTTTTGCATATATACTGAACTTCTTTTGTGCTAGTTGATTTTGGTAGATCTCAGATAGTAATATATCTGGTGCATTTTGTTTTGCTTTCTTCATATTGTTTCCTTTTCTTTCTGTTTCTTCATAAAGGTCTCTTTTCCTAAAAGCTTGTGATTCTTCTTCTTGTCGTCTGCTTCTTTCTTTTTTATAATTATTTTCTTTGCTTCTTCGGCCAGGTTTTTGTTCTTCATTATTCAAATCTGGAATGAGCCGAAGCCAGTCTTCTTCTTTCTTCTCAATTCTTTTGATTGTATTTGTTCTGCTATATTTGCAATCAAACTCTACTTATCTATTTCCATTTTTGAATACCTCTTGTATTGATTTCATATGTTTGTCTTTGTTTAAGATACCTTCTAAGTTTGCAACTCTTTTTTCAGGTGTATTCCCTGGTACTTTGCATGCATGTGCTTTTGCAACGAATGATTTATCACCTTCGTATGTTCTGTTATTTGGTGACTACATGCTGCATTCTATTGGATCACATGCTATCTCTGCTAACAAGTCTTGTTGGTCTCTTTTTTCTATTTTTTGTATCTCTTTTCTAATGCTTTTAATCTCATCTCTCGTAATTCTTTCTATTGGTGCTTCTTTATCTTTTTTAGTTTTTTTCACTTCAATTTCTTTCTCTTTAAGCCAGTTATATAAGCTCGCACCTAAGTCTGAGATTACTATAATTTCTGTTTATTTGTCTCCCTTTCTCTCACTTTTAGTTTGTTGTATTAGTTCTATATTTCTTTCTTTCGATTCTATCTGTTTTTCCAGTTCTTCTTCTTGTTTTCTTTTTTTCAATTCTTCTATTTGCATATTTTCTTTTTCTTTTGTTTTCGTAATTTCTTCTATTTTGTTACTTCTCTTTTCGATTTCTTTTTTGCTCATTTCGGCTATGTATTCAATTGACTTCGGGTTTTGGCTTATCCATCTGGCCTTAATTGCCCACTTTTCTATTTGGTCTTCTTCTATTCTTCTGTATTCAGCTTCGTTTAATGTTATACAAAACCTTCTATATGCAATTAATTCTGAATTTGTAATCTTGTCTATGTCTTTTATTGTTAAGCTTCTTGCTATATATTCTATATCATTTGGTGCACTAACTGAAATTTCTTTAGTGAGTTTTTCTAGTTGTGTATCTATCATGTATTTTGATGCTGCTACACATCTGATCTCTATGAAGTCATAAAGGATCATCTTTGTTATACTGTAATATCTATTAATTTTGTTAATAATCTATCTTTGCTTATGTTGTCTGATAATCTAACCTAATTTTCTAGAAGAATTCTATTGATAATTCTATTTATTCTTTATATGTGACTTTGTTGTTGTCATTTTGTTATACATGTGCAACTTTATTTTGTTTTTTGCCTATTCTATACATGTTTGTTTGTTTATATATCTGTGTGACTATTGATGATCTGCATTCAGAGTCAAATTGATATCCTCTTTTTTTCAAAATTTCTTCACAAAATTTTGTTTTTCTTGGATAGCTTGTTTCTTACAAGTTCCTCTTTGCTTCTTTCTAAGTTTACTAACTGTTAATTTTGTTGCTTTTTCTGTTTTGTTAAAGTTATTTGCAATGTTTCCTATAGCTTTTGTTGAGTTTTTGTCAATTTTGCTTCTGCTTGTTTTTGTGTCCAAGTAATCATTAGGGAGAGTTGTGTTGATTATGAAAATCATTCAATTCTGATTATGTGATTCTGAGATTAATAAAGGTTTATATTATATTACTATAGTAAATATAATATAAAACTCTATTGATCTCAGGATCACATGATTAGAATTGAATGATTTTGAATTTATTCGAATCTATTTTTTAAGAGGATCATTTTGGTAGTTAAATTATCCAAATTGGTTTAATAGATCAAAAGTTATTTAAGTTTAATCTATTATATATAATAATACAGGTTACCCCTGTTAATATCAACCTGTTTGAATTGGGTGATTTGGTTGATATATGCGAGGGTTGATAACAAAGGGGAATTAGTTATTTATGTATTACAAAGCTTCAACCAATCAAAACGCGCATTTTAAAGCAAAAGATAATGATAAGTATAACGATAATACTATATTATTTTTTAGTAATTATGGTTTTTTTTTTCTAACCAAACTAATGCTTTTTTGCGTTATTTAGGTTTCGTTTGGGGTTTTTAGAATCTAATTCTGGGTTATGTATTTAGATCGTGTCGTGATTTTACTACATCAGTACATCTTTTCTGATTTCGAACTATTTACTGTTAGATCTCTTTAAATGCACTGCGACGAAACATATGTAAAGAGTTAGTCAAGCATGTGGTAAAAATCTACAAATATTATATTAGTTGGGCCTAAACGGAGGCATGCATTTATTTATTCAAGGTAATTGATAAAGCCTTTTACATATTATATACTTGCAAGCTAAAGTTCTTTTTTCGTTACTAATTCCGCTTTTTTTTTTTAATGTGAGCAATAATGATATTGTATAGCACTGTTATAGTAATTTAAGGCCTTGACTTTTGTATCTGTGGGTACTTTGTGTGGAATTGGGTGCTATTCAAAATATATTCATTGAAAAGTAATAAAAAATAAACCCGGTAGGACGATGAATAATATCCAGGTCTTAATGATGCGGTAGTGTAGAGATACTATAAGCAGTGCTTACAGCAATATCACACATCTCGTAAATTGATAAATATAGTAAGTAACAATAAGTATCGTTTGTTATATCTTTATTATCAGTATATACTCATACTCTTTTATGATTAATTTACAGAAAACAAAAAAAAAATAACGAGAAAAAAAAAATATCAAATATGAAAAAAAAAAGAAAATTATTATAGCTTAACCCTCTTTGCTAATATTCTCCGTAGAATGTAATTTACCTTCTTTATAATAATTTCTTATAATTGAATAAAGATAATTTTAAAAAAAATCAGTTTCCTTCCTTTGTTCTTTTGATTGGAATACATTTAGACGAATTCGTCTTAACAAACTTCGCAATTGTGATAAATCTTGGTCTTTTACAAATTTTACCGGTTCTTGTTGTTCTAGATACTGTATTAGCAAGCTACATTGTTCTAAGACAACTGAATGAGGAATTTCTTTAATTTCAACATCGCTTTCTTCATTACTACTACTGAAATCTGACTTGTAAAGAACCTCTTCAATAATAGTACTCTTATCTAAAACAACTTCTTCGGTTTCAAGAGTATCATCGATTCGAATATAGTTATTAGCAGACATTACATTCATATAATCGGATGAGATTTTGAAAAGAAGATTTTCAACTTTAATTTCAACTTCAATTTTGGCTTCAACTTCGGCTTCAATTTCGGCTTCAATTTTGGCTTCATTTTCAACTTCAGATTCAACTTCAGATTCAACTTCGAATTCATCGTTCAATGTATTCCAACTTAAGTGATTCCACTCGTTTGACAGCACTATTTCAGTCTTTCTCCAACAATTAATAATCGTTTGAGAAGTTACACAATCCTATGCTTCTGTAATGAATCTAATCATAACAATATTAATGTTTTTTTATTTAATTTTTTTATTTAATTTTTTATTTAATTTTTTTTTTGATTTTTTTTTATTTTTAATTTTTAATTTATTTTTATTTATTTTTTAGAAAATAAGAATTGATTAGTTGCCAAATTGATCAGTTAATTAATAATTGATTTTTGATTATATAAATACCTGATTGCTTCTAAAAGGCTAATACGAGGTATTTCTTTATTACTATTGATAGCATTGATGGCATTCTGAAGATATAAATTGTGATAATGTGATTTAAATGAAAATATTATTCTGGCGTCACATAGTTGTAAATAAGGCGTTGTATTAGGTGGTAAAAAATGTAGCTTGACATAAGTAAGTTCACAGTTGGAATGGGATGTGGCACCATCGACTAATAAAAGGATTTTTTTTTTCTTTAGTTTGCAGGTAGTATTCAGCGATTTTATCCAACGTTCAAAAACTTCTCCCATCATCCATGCTTTCTGACTGGCATCATATTCGACACCAAGAATTTTTTTCTGGATGCCTTTGAAATAATGTAGCTTAAATGACTTTCCAATGACTAATGGTTTGAGTTTATCCATGCCAGTTGTATTTGTACAAAGAAGAACAGTTACTCTATCTTTAACCTTTTTTTGTCCTTTTACAGGTTTTGATGCAAGTATTTGATTAGGCATCATTCTATAATTAGGATTGTGTTGAGGTTAGGGTTGAGATAAGAAATGCCGTATAGTAAAATTTGGCCAGAAGTTTTTTTAATTAGGTGATTTTATAGTTTTATAGTAAGTTTCAATGAATTATTATGATTTTCGAAAGGGTTGAGAATAGCTAATGAAAATTTTTTGATGAATACTGTGAATACTGCGAATACTTGATTATTCAATTACCTTAGCACATTGATTAAATATTGATGCCCGATTTTACGTACATATAATGTAATTGTTTTAGTCAATAATTACATCGTATGTATGTAAAATCAGGCATCGATCTTTAATCAGTGCTAAAGTAATCGAATAATCGAGTATTCGCAATATTTACCAAAAAAATTATTTTTATTTGCTATTTTTAGCCCTTTCAAAAATCGTGATAATTTTTTTTTTCAAACACATAGTAATTGAGAAATACAATTGTTGGATGAAATTTTATAAAATTTGTTTTATTGAAACTTAAAATTATAAGCATTGTAAGTTTGTAAATTTTGTAATACAACCCTATCTATAATAGAGACCAGTTTTATCAGCATTATAAACGTCTTCAGGTTTATATTGTAAAAGTAATTTGACCAACTTTCGCCTTTGATCAGCAAGGTCTTCTACGGGCACACTTTTCGATTCTCCCTCAAGCTTATATCTTTGAAGATCATTTCTTTTTTTAAATCTATTTACCCAACCTGGACTTGCCTTGAAATCATCTTCAGGTATGTTTAATAATTCTGCAAATTTTTTTGCTTGAATTTGCAAAAGCCTATCCGTTAATATTCCATTTTGTGAGAGGACTCGTTTTGTCCAAATAGCCATGGCATTTTCTAAATCGATAAACTTTGCTGGTCGATTGACCATTTTTTTTTCTTCAGGCTCCGTCAGTTGCATTGACAACCATTTTTCTTTTTCTTTCAAGATTTTTGAAATTGTACTTCGGTCGCAACTATATTCTGCAGAAAGTTGATCAATAGTAAGTGATGGAACATCATTCTTTCGTTGATATATTTCTTGTTTTGTTTTTAGTGACATGGTCATTCTTTTTTTTCGAGATTGTTCCGGTCTTTTATCCATTTTGTTCTATTTGCCGTTATTATAAAATTGTGAGTTTTATTTTTTTTATTTTTAGTTTTTAGTTTTATGGAACATATCATTCGAGCGAGTATAAGTTAATTTACATTCTTATTTATTTTATTTTTTTTTTTAATTATAGATTATTATCTTTAATTATGAATAAATCAAAGGCATGAAGGTACGTGTTAAAAGCAAAAGCTCTTTTATATTTATTTCATTCGTGATGCTATGTCATATATATTTATTACAGTAATAACCTTTTTTTTTCCTCATGTGGTTATGCATAGAAGAGAGCTCTTAGAAAGAAATTACAGCCAGTTTTTCCTAAATACAGTTCTTCTATCTTTCTAAATACGACCTTTGGCCTTTGCCTAAATATATATCAGACTCCCAGGAATACAATTTTTCTTATTGTTTTATAAATGCAAGCCAAAAGTCTGGTCTCTACGAATTGTATTTAACATTACGGCGAATTTATGAAATATCCCAAAATTTGAAAATTTTGACCACTAAGTAAACAATAATGATTTTTGATCGAAATAACTACTATCCC